TGACAACCAAAAATGTCTCCAGATTTTGCCAAATGTCCTCTGGGGGGAAAATAGGCCCCCGTTGAGAATGACAGGGTTAGGCAAATGTAAAGTTCATCCTGTGCATAATATACTTTGCAATTTCCACATACATTGCTTTTTCAGAGGTAGAAGCATATTGGATATCAATGGACCCTCTGTACACAAAAGTGATGTGCTGGGGAAGGAGATGCCTCTGATGGAGGACAGGATTCCAAACTTGCTATTATATAGCAGGCACACATTATTTTGAAATTTCAAACAACACTTAAGGGATACAAATTTTTTTGTACTTCTGAAATGTCTTTTTAAAAAGGTGGAGAAATTGAGACAGAGAATAAGATACTGCCCAGAAAATTATTTCCTTTCTTTACAAAATGCCCTGTATTATGAAACAGAGATTTAAGCACTTGGAATCTATGATTGTGACAATATAGGACGCTGGCAATATGACCAATAACAATGACAGCAGTTGCTGTTTCCTGACGGGTTGTGGCATGTTCCAGGTACTATACTAAGCATTTAATACACAAGAGTTTAAGACTCACAACCCCACCTCATAGTAAAAAAGGACTGTCTCTATTTTACAGATAGGAAAACTGTGGCTCAGAAAAGTCTAAGGAACTTACTCAAAGAAAGAATATTGTGGGAGTCTTCTGAATTTCCAAGAATATATTCATAATTACATAAACTTTCTTTAATGCCCTTTTGACAAATTGATTTTTTTAATCTCAAATACTGAATGTCCTAAAAGAGGAATTCAGTACAGTATTTTTATAAGTTAATGCACTACTGCACGCTGATCTTAGAGGCAACGGATAAGTTACATGCAGTGCTGTGGGAACAGACGTCCCCCTAAGTATACGGATTAGGGAGGCGACGCACTACGGTCTTAGAACTTGGCTGCCACAGCTTGTTGTTGTCCCTTGCAGAAGTAATTAAGGGGCATTTCACAGTCTACTCAAAAAATTTGCAAAAGCAGAGTGATGAAAACAAGAGAGCAACGTAAACTAAATTTGCAAAAAAATCATAATAATGAATTCCACGAAGCTAGAGTAGTAGTTGTGACAATTGCGAACTTTGTGCAATTCAGCTCCGTTTACTCTGTGCATGTTTATGTTTAAAGAGAATTCTTAATTGTTTTCGGTGACAGGACGCTACAAGAGTTTGGAAAACAAATTCACAGAAAAGTCTAAAACCTAACTTTAAGGGAGAATTTCAAAGTTAATCACTAACAAGCCAGACGTGTTTACAAAGGCCTATACCGGCTGACTTTCTTGAAATGCTTGTTATTTATCATCTGATAAAAGGACTAATGTACATTCAAATGGTTTAAAGTCAGAGTAAGAAGCCACAGCAAATATACACTGGATAATAAGTACTTGAAATAACTGGGACTTTTTCATAATACTTTCTGGCAACTCTATATTTCTACTTACTTTTACCAAAAGGAAAATTGAAACAGTACATTTCACAGCCATTTGCAGCTATTCACGTTGTTTGAATTCTGAGTTATTTCTGTAATATGGTTGGTGGACCACCCCAAACATGTCCTTTGGTGAACTACCAAAAAGTCTTCCTCCAGAAATAGATTACACTTTAGCCTCTCCTGATCTTGTGGAATTGAAGTGACAAGAATCAGGGAAGCAAAGCGAAGGAGCTGCTGCTCCTGCCCCTGACAGGAAATAGCCCCATTCTTTCTAGGACCGGCGGGGCTGACATGAACAACAGCTGCCTCACTTTTTCAGCACAAACAAATGAAATTGTTCCTTTCCAGGCTTATCACAAAGTGATTGGTAGTGTGCTCCCGGAGAAACTCCCCAGATGATTTTTGAATACATTTGTTTGTGTGTTCGTGCCATGTACACACATCACAGCACACATCCTAATGCCATTGAACTGTGACAGTGGTTACAACACCTTTTCCATCCAGGAAGTCTTCTCTCATTCACTCAGTCTGGGGTAGATGCTTATCAAGTTTTTACCCACAGACACCTGAAGATGAGCAGATGCTGGTTGGGTGCAGAGGGAGAATAAACACCAGCTTGGCCGCTCTCTGTGTAATATCCTCTCCATTATACCTGGTTTCTCATCTGAATACATGAGGATTAATAATACCTAACTATCGTGCTTATTCTAAGGATTAGAAATAATATCTGTAACTTGCTACAGGGGCTTAATCAATGGTAGTGGTTGTTAATGAAAATTACCTTATTAGTTTGGTTTTAACAGTAGTCTACTGTATCTAGGTAATGCCAGGATATTAGCATCATTTTTCATATTATATTCAGTCACCTCTTTGTTGGGTTATAAATGAAACACAGCTCCATTTATACTTCTAGCCTTTTAGCCTGAAAACTGAAATCTATGTCTGTGCTTATAATATGGGCATTTTCCCCATCAGAAATGAAGAGTTAAAGATTATGGGTCCTCGAATAGGCCATTCTAACACTAAAATTCTAATATTTTATGATGAGGAGTCTCATCTCTGCAATTTCCTATGTCTTGCTGGGCTGTTAGGTATAGTGTTTTGCACACTACCCTGTGTTACTTATGTGCTGAAATTACTATTATTATGCACGGCAATTACAAAAGCTGAGCTGGAACATCAAGTACCAGTATCACGAGTTCTTTTTGAAAATCTACAGTGCATCTTCCTTGAGAGATTTAAAAACAGCTAACTGATTTACCAGCAAGGCTGCTGGCTACACATATGAGAGTGCTGAGTTCTGATGGAGCAGTTCTCTGTGCCAAAGGCTTTCCACTGCCTACCACAGACCACCAGGGCACCCACAAAACCAAAGAAAACTCAGCCAAATGTGACTTCCATCTAGTCTAACTTCCCAATAAACAGATGAAGAAAGCAAGGTACAGAGCCTGCTTGCCAAGACTGAGTCAATAGTTACAAGGACTTTTTCAATTAAGACATCATGTGGGCTAGCCCCGGTGGCCTAGGAGTTAAGTTCAGTGCACTCTGCATCAGTGGCCCAAGTTGGGTTCCTAGGTGCAGATCTATACCATTCTGTTAGCGGCCATGCTGTGCTGGTGGCCCACATACTAAAAAATAGAGGAAGATTGGCATGGATGTTAGCTCAGGGCAAATCTTCCTCAGCAAAAAAAAACCCAACAAAACAAACCAGACAGACATCACGTGATCTCTTTGAAGCAGCAACGACAGTGCTCAAAATGCTGCGACTGAAACTCAGGCCCTGATACTATGCTGTTTCTACGGTTTTCTTCCTCTCTAGGACTCAGGGGTTCAGTGCCCCAGCCCCAACTCTTTAATACCCAGGATAACCTTTGCTTCAGGGTCCATGCGAAAGGTAGATTCAGGTCTAGAGTCCTTGTTCCCTTCAAATTCAGTCACCTTGATATTCCTTGCAGGGGCCCAGCCCTGTAGAAAGACCTAATGAATTACAGGAACCTGAGAGTGTCTATGTTCCCATGGTTACTGGCCCCCTTCACAAGTGTGATGTCACTTCCTTTTGACTTGTAGTCTGGGAGGAAGGAACTGTAGGAATGGAAACCAATTGTGGGCTAGTGGTGGTCGTGCCTCATCTTTCCACTGTCAGTAGTGAAGGTTCTAGTCACGGCCACTTAATAACATCAGGACCTTGGGAAAAGGTGAAAAAAAGAGGGATTTGGATTACCTTGTCTCTAAGGTCCCTTCTAATTTAAAAATTCTGGGGTCCCATGAGTTTACTCGGTAGGGGAAGGGTTCCACTCTACCAGGTTAAACAAATACACATATGATACATAATATATACTATTTTCATTAAAGGGCAGAAACTTTATTATGGTGTGCCTCCTTGAACGGCTAAATAAGAGCAATGTAAGTGGTAGCGCCCCAGTGAAATCCTACATCCCAGGTGGTTAGACTTCCAGCAGCCTTCACCAAGAGGAACACAGCTGTGAACCAGAAGTATGCAATTGCAAGAAAACTCCATTCACTCAGCTCCTAAGGAGACATAGGGCATTAGCTTCTATTGGTTTTCTCAGCAATTAAGATAAATGAGAGAAAGAGATTAAAAACGCAGGTTTTCTTGGAGCAGAAACTCTACTGGGGATTGCTCATTGGTTAAAGGGCTGTGGACGGGGAAGGGCAAGATGAATGAAAGAGTGACAGAAATTAATAAGCTGCTACTTCAGAACAATGGTCTTTTTACTCCCCTGCCCCCAATCCCCTATTCATCACACAGTAAATTCTTAGGAAAGTACATTAACTCCTTCAGGTCAATTGGATCAGGCTTGGGTTTTCAGACAATTACTTCTTACATCTAAAACAAGAAATGTACTGATTCCCAGTGACCCAGTCAATCCTCTCTCTGGCTGGAGTCTTTCCTGAAGTAAACTCAGGGCTCAGGTAGGTGACTCACACTTTTTGGCCAGAAACTCATTCATTAAAAACCAAGCATTCCCCCATTGCCACATGTTATTTCTTGCTAGTGCGTCCTCCCTCCCTCTTGGCCTCAGCTGCAACAGTCTATAAACTTCAGCCAGGTGTCCAGGAGCACAGAATGATCTCTAGTTGGTGGCTGAGAACTTAACACAGAGACTTCTTTTAAGAAGTGCGGTCTTTGAATCCACAGTCAATGAACTAAACTGGTATTTTAGGATAAACTGCTATATTGTTTATTCGAGTTAGTTCCATGAAACATGGCAAAACTTCCTTATAAATGGACTATATACTTAAGGAAAATCCATTTTATATTCATTCCTATAACATTTTGGATGCATTATATTAAAAAATTCCAAGACATCTTCTGAAAGAATCTAATGTTTGCCCTTTGTCTTCTGAGTCAGAGTGGAAAGAACTGAATAATTACTGCTTTGAATCCTTAAGGATATATGTTTCTCTCTCTTGCCTTAGAAAAAGAAGACAAAATGAGATCTTTAAATGAAAAAGGCCAACCAACGTTCAGGGTGCTGGCTCCAAGTCGGCGTTTATATTTTATGACATTCGACACAACTTTACAGCCTACCTCCTCCTCTCGCCTTCTCCTCCTCCTCTTCTTTCAGCAGCTTGCCAATGGAATTATACCACTTGAATTGTGGATCAGGGGTGCCATAAACACTACAATTAATCAAGGCACTGTTTCCTTCCTTGACTATGATATGGTCAGTTCTGGCAATGATTACAGGCACAGAGCCCAAGACCATGTCAGTGCCATTTAAAGTGCTGTTAGTCGCACTCTTAGCAGTTGCTAGAGTGGATGCTATGATTAAAAAGGGCACAGAAGGTAGAAAGCACACAGGCAGATGGCTCTTCAATCGCTCCATCTTCTTTGCTTGCTCTGTAAGGCAAGAGAGATGGTTTGCCAACGGAATCTTTTATCAGACAACTCGCTGTTCAGAGCAGGCCTTGGGACAAACCCGTCCTGGATCCACAGAGTTGGTTCTTGATTAAGAACCTGTCAAAAAGACACAAAACCATACACACATAAATACTAGCCTTCAGACTTTAAAAAACATTATTTATGAAATGTTAGAAACCCAGCTAAAATACAAACCTATGCAATTTTTAACCAAGACACAAATTCAGAAGACGTTCCAAATATTAAGTTACATTTTTCAAAGAAATCATAACAATATAATTTTGTTACTTTTGCTATCGAAACATATAGCTCTTAGTAGGAACAAATAAATATTTCTTATGTTAAAGTTGTATCACATTACTTCAGAGAGTTCAAAAACCAGTTCAGGCTTCTTTCATTTAGCATTACAAGCTCTCCTCCTACCCCATCGCCTGTCTTCCTCACGGATGACCTGAGTGTTCATCCGGCGTGTCTTAACCTCTTCTCTTCCAGTGAACACGACTTCCAGTCTATGCCAGTGCTCACGGTTTGGGCTCTGTCAGCATTTGAAAAGGGCTCCACCAGAATCAGTCCAGCTTTCTCCTAACACCCCATAATGGCTTCCAAGATACTCCTTCCACTCTTTCATGCAATTGTCCATGCTACTCTGAGCTTCACACCATCTAGCTCTCTCTGCTCCATGTAATTGCTATCTACTAACTCCTGCTCACTCACTCAATTCCTTGGTTTCCATCTTCACCAGCCTCCCAGAGGCTAGGGAACATCAGTATGTATGGGGTGATGTTATAGGCGTCTGCACTTCCATGTCCAAAGATCTAACCGTCACCTACACCTCTATCCTCCATTTCACCCACTAATCTGGATGGCCACATCCTGCCCTTTTTGTCTCTCTGAATTCTAAGTTCTGAAGTTCCAAGTAATTCTGAAGTTCTAAACAACCATCTTTAATGTACCCTATCATTCTTCTAGATCTCATACTCCTCTCACTGGACTTTCTAGTGCTTCAAGTTTTCTCAGTTTCTATTTTCCTCCCTATCCTCACCTGCATGCTCCATTTCTGTTTCAGTCTAGACCCAATCATGTAGACCACAATCCCCAAAATCCTTACCCCTAGTCCTTGGCCACCATTCCTCCGCCAGTATTGGAATCACAATTGTGATCAAGCCTATCGCTTGTCCTGGCTCCTACATCCAGGAGGCTGGAGCATGGCTGGAGAGAATCATACAGCCATGTAATTATTGCCAAAACAAAGGAACCACCTCCAAACCTAGCCAGACCCTTGGTGACATTTGGCAACCTGTTTATAGGTGCTTCATTGGTTCAGTATCCTCTTTTCACAATGCTTATACACACCTTTAGCTTTCACATCAAGCATCTTAGCCCAATGGTATTCCCATCTTTCTCAAAAGACACCTTTCTCCTACTAGGGCTTGCAGGCATGAATTCCACTTTCCCACCTTTTGGAAAGAATCCTGAATCTTATCCTAAATTCCTCCCCTGCCATTTACTCCTCAAACTACCACATTCTGTATTTTGCCTGCTCTTTATTGAAACAGCTCTCGCACACGTCACCAGTCACTCTTAGTTGCCAAGTTTTCAGTCTTTCTCTGTGGCAACTGCCACTATTAACTGTTCTTTGTCAAAACTCTCTCTGTCCATGGCTTCTACACTCTGCTCCTCCTAACTGCTCTCACTATTCTTTACTAATTCCTCTTCTTCTTCCCAGTCCTTAAAAGTTAGTTAACTCCTAGAGCTTCATCATTGGCCCTCTTTTCTCCTTTTACCCATAGCTCTTTCTAATGCTTCATTTTCATGCCTTTATTAGCACCTACAACCTAATAAGTCTCAAATGCATGTTCTCAGTCCTGACTCTTTCCTGAGTTTCAGACTGGTATTACCAAATGTCCACTGGACATCTCTACCAGGATATTCTGCAGGTAACTCAAAGTTAATATTCCCAAACCAAACTCATCTGCTAACCATCCTACATTTCCTGGATCCCTTACTCCAGTTCAGGGTAGCACCATCTATGCAGATATGCATGGGTATAATTCTCAGTTTGACTATTGCCCTCATCCCCTCAGAACATCAGTACCTATATGTTGTTGATTCCACCTCTTCAATGTTGCTTGGATCGTTCCATCCTTTCCATCTCCTCTGAGTGAGCCTCAGTTAAGGCCTCCCTCTCTTCTTACCGGAAGTGGTGTGGTACCCTTCTCCATGATCTGCCTGCCTTCCATCTTTCCCCAGTTCCCAGTCCAATCCCTATAATCATTTACAACACAAATTATATGGTGCCATTTCTTTACTTAGCAGCCTTCAATGTTTCTGCATTGTCTACATTCCAGAATCTGAATTCTTTACCCTTTTTATTCACTTAAAAAATAATTATTGAACATCTATTATTAGGAAGACATTATTCTAGGTCCTAGAGATAGAAGAGTAAACAAGACAGATCTTTCCTCTTATTTGGAGATTATATTCTCAAGGGGAAAAGCAGACAGTAAGTAAATACCATGTAAATAAGAATTTCAGCTAACGATGCATGCTTTGAAAAACACACCATGATGTGCTTGAGTGCTGAGTTAGGCAATCAGGGAGGAGTCTACTGAGGAGGAGGCCCAGATCACATGGGGCTTTGTAGGACAGGGTAAGGAATCTGGACTGTATCTAACGTTCACTGGAAAAGTTTAAGCCAGGGAGTGATAGGATATGATTTCTTTTTTAAAATCAACTTTACTGTGGTATAACTTACAAACAATAAGATGTGCCCATTTTAGGTGGTATATATTTTCATGGGTTTTGACAAATTTCTACACCCCTGGAACCACCACAATAAACAAGATATGGAATGTTTCCATCACCACCAAAAGTTCCCTTGTGCCCCTTCCCATTAGTAGCTTTTACACTGATTCACTCCAGTTCCTTTTGTGTACAGCAAGAGGTAAGGACTGCGGTGCATTTTTTCCCATATGGATATCCAGTTGTTTCAGCACTGTTTGTAGAAAACACTGTCCTTTCCCCAATGGATTATCTTGCCTTCTTGTCAAATACAATGAACTATATGAGTCTATTTCTAAACTTTTTATTCTGTTCCACTGATCTTTATGTCTATCCTTATGCCAGCACCATACTGACCATACTGTCTGCCTCATTTATCTTTGTATTTGCCGTGTCTAAACTTGTCCCTAACCCTTTAGATACTCAATGAATTGCTGAAGGAATCTCTCTCCAAAGGCAGACATTTGTATTCCAATTCTTTAGACAATGAAACTGAAGAGCTACCCTGGGGTAATAACTTAGTTGTAGACTATATATTTCCTCAGTGGCAAAGACGACAGTTTTCTTAGTGCCATAGACTTTCAAACTGCCCCCTGGACTTGACTGCTTTCCTGCCCAGGGAGGCCAACACGTTACTCCACCAACAGGAATCACTGGCTAAGGGAGATAGCATAGGCTGCAACCACATGACAGACACCGTGCTATGACTTTGTAAATGTTTCTCCTTACTCGGCTAAACTTGTGGTTTCTTTTAACAGAGAAGTTGTAAAGCTGATCTCTTCAATAGAGAATGGTTGTTAAGAGCACAGCCCCGGGTTTTAGACAGACTGGGCCAGGATCCTGGATCTCACCACCTTTATCTCTGTGTGTTTCTGGCCAAGTACTTACCAAGTACAGGACAAGTATAAGGATTCGCGATCAAATATACATAACGTATTTACACACTGCTCAGTGTGATGTATAAGAATTATTAACATAAGATATAAAGTACCTTTTACTGAAATCATGCTTCTCTGGTTGATTTTAACTTAGATCATTTAAAAGCCATACCTTGTTTTTGGTTTTAAGACATTATTGATTGCCATCCCATCACCAGAAATAATTACAAATGATTTTCAGACTGGGTCCTTTTGCAGGGACTCAGGTCTGAAAATACACGAGCTGCTCCTCCAGGCAGACACTGGGCTCAGGGGCTGGGGTGTCTCATCTGACTCCCTGATGCCTACAGCAGAGCAGACACCTGACGAAATGGTTGGGAGAGAATCAGAGACAAGACAAAGTGGGACACAGGTTCTAATAAATATGTGTAATAAATATACTGTAACTTTTTTTTCACAATTAGAGAGACTGAAGCAAATAGAAGATACAACTGAGTTTTAAAATGCATAACTCGAGAGCTGTTTTCTAACAAAGGCGAGCCAAACTGGTTTCCCACTTTCAAACACATTGTGTTAGCAAGAATAAAGAGGAGGGAGGGGATACTGCTGTTGTCTTATATTCTAACAATGTCAGTAGGCGCTTTGAGCTAGAAACTTAGCAACTGTTCTGAAACTGTATCTAGTTCCCTTAGAGACCTTAAGATGTACAGAGGCAGAGATTTTCATTTTAATGCAGGACTGGCAGTTAGCAAACCCATTCTTCCCTTCCCCCATTCTCACTCCCATCCTTTCCCATTTCGAAAAGTTACTAAGGTACAGAAAACATAAGGTGTAATTTATAGGTTGCTTCAATCAAAGCGTTTTCACTCTAAAACACCGTGAACATTTATTTTTGAAAATGAATCATTGAACTGATTAACATTAATCAATTAATAGCTTTTAGTAAGAATTCACCACATCTCATATCATGCCCTTTCAGTTCAGATTTTTTAAAAAAGTATTTATTATGTGCTGGGTGCACTGCCAGGGGTTTGGGGTAGACTGGGAATGCCACAAAATCCATTTATAATCTAGTAGGGAAGAGAGAGACAGCTAATTTCCATATGTTCTGCAGGTGCTATGAGCTTAGGGTTCGGTAGATAGAAGGAGAACCAGCCGGTCTGGGTGACACTAGGAGATGTTTGTTGATTGCCTATCCAGCATCCATTCCCAATTCCACCTTTGGCTTCCCACGAGTCCCAGAGCTCAGAGACTCCAGTCCTTCTAAACTTCCCACAGCACTTGCAGCTTTTACCAAACTTTTTTTTTTTTGAGAATGATTAGTCCTGAGCTAACATCCGTGCCCATCTTCCTCTACTTTATATGTGGGACACCTACCACAGCATGGCTTGCCAAGCGGTGCCATATCTGCACCTGGGATCGGGACCGGTGAACCCCCGGCTGCCGAAGCGGAACATGCGCACTTAACCGCTGCGCCACCGCGGCGGCCCACTAAATTTCTGACACTCCTCCCTGGCCTATGATCTTGCATTTTTCTCAGTTTTGTGTTGAGAAAACTTCTCAACTACAAAGAGAGCTCCATGATGCAGGAACTCTGGCATACAGTTCCGTAGAATTTCCTTAATGCTGGGCCCCCACAGCAATGCTTACACACTTGCTGTTAGGAGCCGTCCTCACGTGGACTCCAATGGCAATCGTTTAAGAATAAACTCACAGTGAGCTGCCGGAAGAACATAAAGACGTCGTGTCACTTTAGTCATTAGGGAAAAATTCTACCAATCTACTTTGCTCAGCTTGTCAGATTTTACCGAGAGCATCATGAAAAGTTCAGTTAATAACACTATAACATTGTGAAAGACATTTTAGCCCCTAAAGAATAAACCGCGAGTACTATAATCCAGCAGCTTAAAATGCAGTCCTTCAAAACAGAAGAACAAAGGCCACAGATTCCCAAACCAGGGTTTAACAAAAGCTACAATGGACAAATTGTTAAGCTTCATGTGTTTGCTCACGGCCTTCGGGAAAACGGTCATAGAATACTTTTTTTTCTATAAAGAAAGGGAAAATATTTAGCAAACATCAGCTGTCCTTTCTTTAACTTGATCCCTTCCCTAACTCCCAACAACTGTATTAAATGTTTAATAAAATGCCTTGTTGAGTGTTATCTTTTGTTTCTCCATCTATAATAAGACATGACTATGGACCACGTATTTCTGGAGATGGGAGGAAAAGAGCCTCCTGTTTAAGGGCATTTTGAACTAAATGAATATACATTATTGTTGTTTCTTGGCAGTGTTCACGCTGGCATTTTCCCATCAACTATGATGAATAATTTTAGAGTTACACAACTGGATTTTATAACAACATCTGCTGACAGCTACTACTATTTTCATTTGTGCATAAATGATGCCACAGGCACAAAGGCTGCCTTTCAGTATAAGCCACATTCTTGATAGGTTTCTACTCAGGAAGCAAGGAGGGGAAATCTTCACTTCACGTAAAATGGAGACAGGCACTGAAACACTCATTACATCATAAAGGCTAACTTCTCCAAACTGGTGGCCTGCTGTGGCCATTTTAGTTATGGATATATTTCTGCAACTTCCTCTCCCATATGTCATAATTAATGAAAAATATCCATACTAGTCTCTTTTTTAAAACAGTATTTTAAAATGATTTTCCTTTGCAATTTTCAAGAAAAAGTATAAGAACAAAATTCTCACTAGCCCATTCTTTCTCCCCTAACTTCTTTCAAAATCAACGTACACTGGTTTTTAGGGAGTCAAGGTAAGGCCTAAATATGGACTATGGGAATCCAAAGTCAAAGGCCCAGAAATCTGTGGAACAAGAATTTCCCATAGCAATTACTGCTGTCTAGAATCAAATCATTTAAGTGCTAAATCAGCTAAGTGTTATCTCGATGTCCAGTCATAATACAGAAAGAGATTTATGCTGTCCTTCTTTCTTCCCAATACATGTTCTGGGAATTCATGTATCAATTGTCTGGGATTCTTGATGCCTCTAATCACACAAAAGTAATTCCTGACTCAGATGGCAAATGGGATCATTACATGAAATTATGGAAGAGCATCGCTTTTAGGTTACTTTTAGAAGCATCCAGACATATCAATTCAAGTCAATACACATTAACGGAGAAATATCTCTGTGCCAAGCACAGAGGAGTGCCAAGGGTGAGGAGTACAAAGGTAAGACACAGTCTCTCTCATCCAAGCATCTAGCAGGGAGAGAGAGAAAAGTAAATCAACAATTAAAGACAGTGTGTAATTGCCCCATCAGAAAGGTGTCAAGGATCCTCTGTGATACAGGATAGGAGACCCAAGCAGTCTGGAAGGGCCAGGAAGAACTTTCTAGAAGAAGCGACCCTTAGTTTAATTATAAAGGAGTTCACCAGGTAGACCAGGGGAGAGACGCTGACTCCAAAAGAGGAAGAGCATATTCAAAGACATGGCGATTAGAGAGAACCTACCAAAATTGGGGAAATGTATGTAATTAGGCACCACTGGGTGGTGTGTAGAAGAAAGGAGGAGGAAGTAGGCTGGTCCAGATAATGAAGGGAATGGTATGGAATATTGAGGATGGGGTACACCCACAGGCTCTGGAAGTGGGAAGTGATACTTCCAGTTTTGTGTTTAGAAAGATCACCTTGCTCACAGTGTGACTGATGGTGGAGAGGTGGCTAGGAGCCTACTACAATATCCAGGAGGGAAAGAAAGAACAGGGGCCTGAACTAAAAGCAGTGGGGAAGGCAAGAAGTGGGCAGATCCAAAAGAGGTACAGGAATTAGAATGTAGAGGATTTAATGATTGACCATACAGCAGGCTAAAGTAACACCAGACCTGAGCAGTGGTGCCTCGGGTTATAGCGACAGTTCTCTGAGGAGAGGAGTGTCTCATTCGCCGAGAACCAGCACCTGGCACTGTGAGTGGAATACACATGAATACATGAATTAGGAATTTCAACTAACAACTCCCTTGGGCAGCACTGCCTTCTTGCTGCTGCACTTGAATAAAGGCCTGTCTGCTGGCAGTGGCAGAGCAGAATCCATGGTGGCCCCTGCCTGGTCCCCTCACCTCTTCTAGCTTCGCTCTCTCCTCTCTGCAACTCCTGGCTGATGGAAGGAGTTGTGATGACAAGCAGGAGCAGTGCCACTTAAATTTATGAATTGTCACAAGTTGAGAGCTCTATGGCAGCATGTCATGGAAAGAATTAGGCCTGTCTTATGAAAGCAGTCGGCCCCTAGAAGGATAAAGAGACCAAGGGAAGGTGACCTCATGGCATTCTTGGTACATCGTTTGTTTATTAACTATGTGGTATTAGGATAATTTCCAGCTACTTAAGGGGTAGAACGAAATACATATCCTGACTTGCTGGACTGCTGTGAATGATTACCAGATGAGCTCTTTCAGCTCACTGAACAATTTAGAAGGAACTAGAACAAAAAGTCTCATTCCTACTCTATCAACTACACTAATGCCGAGGCCTCTACAAAATTTTATGCTCTGTTACTTTTTTGATCCACAAAAGGCACATACTTTTCAAAAACTGATCTGTTTAAAATCACTGTTTTTCAAACCTAAAAATGAACTATAGGCCCAGAGATGCCATCTTTGTAATACTTTATTTTTGATGGTGTATAACATTAAGAAACCATTCTTGGATCTTCATTACATTTTTTCCATATGGTACGTTTTTCTGATTAAAACTAAGAATGATACAAAATAAAGCTCTCAGAAATATAATGATTCATAAAGGAGGAAGAGAAAAAGAATTATATTAAAGGCTTTCCTGTATAGATATAATGATTATCTAATTAGGCAAGATAAAAACAGATCTACCACACATATTGGTTCACAGAACTAGAATATCAGATCTGGAAAAACTTGGATGTCTTTCCACAAAGTTTTTTCTTCATATAACATGAGAAAGGGAGGCCCACAGAAGGTAAGTGATTGCCCAGTCATACAATTTAGTGGCTCAGAACCAGGATAAAAAGCTCAACGCCCAGATCGGGCCTGACATTATATGAAAATCTCTTGGTTCCATAAAGGCAATTTTTAAGTTGTTCCAGTAGTCTGAGACATGCAAAAAGGGTTATTCTAAGTGCAGGTCTATCTTTTAGAAGAGTTTATTGATGTTTTCGTGTGTATTTAATTTCTTCAAATTCTCATTCTAAACGAACAGTCTAAAATAGTTTTGGGCCCAATTAATGTAAAACCTTAATTGATCAGAGAGACATTTCCTCAGAAATCTGATGATCTAGGGAATAATCAAAATCTGGTAACTGAATACCAATGAGGTAGATGCTCTGGTGGATGGTGCCTTCATGATACCACGCCAATCCCCAAAACACACCATGATGCAGACAAAAGGGTTAGGATGCTGTCTTGGCATTTTTCTTTCATCTTTGACACCATCATTATCAGATTCCATATTGAACCTAAGGCTGGTTCAGAAGCTGTTTCTGTCTTTCTCTGCCTGTCTCCACCACTAGATATTTTTTCCAGCATCTCTCCTTTAAAAAATTATGTCCTTTCAAAACATTCTCCCTACTCATTTACAGGGTGTATATAGTGAGATTAAATTTTCATTCTAGTCCAATTAATTTATGTTACCTGCTAATCTACAGCACTACTTCTGCCAATTTTCAATGTGCCTTATTTTAATTTCATCTCAAACCCATTTCCAGAGAAGTTCCTGATGTATTTAGTATACAAGCTCCTATACTCAGAGTGAAGCCAGGCAGGAGCAGATGGATATGTGGAAGCCTGGACACATCAGTGAGTCAGAACTCTCCTCTGGCCAGAGGATCCCATGTATCGGGGAGGTGTTTTGTGAGGTGCTGACCCCTAGCTGCCTGCCTGCAAGTCCAGGTCGGCCGGCACTCTGCCTGGATGGAGGAGGCAAACACATGTGCCCTGTGCAGCCTGCAGAACACACTGGTCAATAAGTCAGAGGGCAATATTCTTAATTTCCTAAATAAGATTCATGGCTGGAAGCAATTGTGAATTTACATTTTCTTGCTGTTTCTGGCATACTTCGTCAACTCTTACGGCCTTGATAGTGAAAGGACCTTTCTCAATTCCCCCATCTGATCGTACTCAGATGGGTTCCCAACTGGCCATGTATAATGCCCCTGTCTGGAACTGGAGGGCAATTTTCCACAGAAACAATCTTATAAAGGTTGGTCGATTATTTTGTGGTCAGACAGTCCACGATAAAACTACTTCATTATGAGTGTGAAGGACAGCATTAATGGTACTCAAGCAAGACACAGAGGAACATCTAAGAGGAATACATCCAGTATTCCAAGTGACAGCCAGTGTGAAGA